AGAAAGTAGAAGAAAAAAACTGACGGTATAAAATTATATTATATTTATTAGTTTTTGCGTATAAGTTATGTATAATGTGTCATTTCTGAATACATTGAGGCTTGAGCCCGTGGTGTCATTGCAGCCGAATTAAAAAAAATGCGCTTTAAACTTTCACGGCCTTATTACAAAACAAGGTTTTACTTTAGTCTAGGACTAAACCATTGAGCCAGTTTTTGTATTTCGAATTGAAGATAGATGACAATAAGATTCAAAATTCAAAACCCGACTCAGTGGTTTAAACCTGGACTAAAGATAAATCTTGTTTTGTAATAAGGGGGTCAGTGGCTGGAATTAAGCGTGAGGTTATCTATAGTTATTCTTAATAACCTGTGGGTTGCTTTCTAGAGATATATATTTTTTGACATAAATTCCGTAGAAAATGTGTCAATTCTATCAAGCCAGTAGCCCGCCAGGTATCACCTCGCCTATTCGCAGGATTATCCTTTATTATAAGTCTGATACTTTCTCTAATGCCTCCTCTACACGTAGACAGATTTGTCTGCAGACGTCCGCAGACGCATCCGCAGATGAATCTCTACGAGCCGTCCACACGTCGCCAGGTCGTTCAGTCTATGTTGGTTCTCGTCAGATGCAACACGTACGCACGCAGAATGGATATCGAGACCGTTGCTGCCGCAGCTATTAATTTATTTTGTACTTACAAGTATTATTTAAGCGTCTATCGCAATAGGGTTATTAAAAAAAAATGGAGAAGAAGAAGGTGGTGGATGCTGACTATACATAGAAACCGAACAAAGTAAGTGGGATTTTTTTATTCATAATATAACTTGTACGCTTTTTAATCGACTTCAAAAAAAGAAGGTTCTCAGTTTGACCTGTATGTTTGTATGTATGTTTGCGGTTTTCATAAATTTGTTACATTTAGGTAGAGGTTATAGTATATAATACTTCTTAGTTTAATGATGACCTTCGGCAATATACTTGGATATTCTTACGGGTTAGTGTTTTTGAAGTCGGTTCTCTTTTCTAAAAAGTTTTTTTTAACGTAGGTAACGACTTCTTACATTACTCTGTTTCTTCGCAGGAATAGCATGGAAAACCAGTTTGCAGAACTATATGCAGAGCCCTCTGGAGAATTTAATAATTTTGTTCGAATGTCTAGCAGCGATTTTGAATATTTACTACAAAAGATATCTCCAACGATTGCTAAAAAAGATACAGATTGGAGGGATGCCATTCCAGTGAAAGTGCGTTTGGCAGTAACATTAAGATATTTAGCTACTGGTGATAGCTATAGAAGCTTGCATTACCTGTTTAAAATTTCAAGCCAAGTTATATCCATTATTGTTCCTGAAGTATGTTTAGCGCTCAATAACGTGTTAAAGGATTTAGTGAAGGTAAACCACATAATTTAATCCAAAATCTTTATTATTAATTGTATTGTAATGAATAATCAACAGTTTACAAAAAACTTTGCTTTGACAAATAGGTAAGTAGGTACTTTCAGTTTGCTTTGACAAATTAAGGGTGATCGGTGTTATTATCGTCCGTCATATTTAAACAGCTTTCGTAATACATTTTACTTGTTTGTGGTACAAGTACTTCTTGTGAAATAATGTTAACCATTTCGGTTTGTTGATTGGCCATATTTTGTGGTGGTGACTGAACTGAATGGGGGGAGTCTACTACGTATATAGGTGACGGTGTTGATGGATACATGCTGTTGCTCGTGCTAGGTCGACTGAGGATTATTTGTGAAGGAGAAGAAACAGCATATGATCTACCCTGCATCGTGTTGTAACGACGACGTCTGTTCATCATAACACCATGAAGCTCGTACATTATTTCTTCCCTTTCAAGTTTTGGATACACCCTTATTTGTTTTGCCAACATTTTACAAAATAAATCGCATTCGTCTTCTTCTTTTATGTTTTCTTTGTTAGCCAATGCTTTATTTAATGCTGTAAAAGCAGTACTCATTTTTTTATTGGCTTCTTGCATTTCGGGTGGATCTTTAGCACGACGTTTTTGTGACTGAATAATTGGTTTGTTTTGAGATGTAGTAGGGATGTTGGCATCATTATGGTCTTCGTTTTTAGCATCCGGAATATTATCACTAACCTGCACGTTAGAAGCGCTACCCTCTTCATACAAATCAGGTTGTGTCTGGGAAAGAAAAAATTCAATAAAAATATATTTAAATAATAATATTACATTAAAGAGCAAACCAGCGTTTTTTTTTTTAAATTGACTATATATTTTTATTTTCAGATACCTAACACTACGGATGAATGGCTTGCAAAGGCAAAAGGATTTAATTTTCCTCATTGTATTGGCGCTTTAGATGGGAAACATGTCATGATTCTACCGCCACCCAATACCGCAACGGAGTACTTCAATTATAAAGGGCATTTCAGTATTGTACTCTTAGCACTAGTTGATAGTGACTACTGCTTTATGTTTGTAGATATAGGTTGCCCAGGGCGAATTAGCGATGGTGGAGTCTATAATCAAAGTGTTTTAAAGCAAAAAATTGACACAAATGTGATCAACTTGCCTTCTCCTAGTTGCTTACCCAATAGTAATACAAGCTTACCCTACGTATTTTTAGCTGATGCCGCATTTGCATTGAGTACACATATTATGAAACCATTTCCAGGGCATCACGCTCTTGGTACTCCAGAGAGATTATTCAATCAAAAGCTCTCTAGTTCGCGTGTAGCAGTCGAAAATACTTTTGGTATAATGTCTAGCGTATTCAGAATTTTCAAAAAGCCTATACCCTTGAATATCACTAAAGCATCTTTAATTACAATGACATGTGTCTTGTTACACAATTTCTTAAGAAAAAGTAAAACATCTCAACATTTGTACAGTCCCCCAAATTCAGAAGATAAGTATCTCAATGGAGAATTAATCCAACCAGGGTCTTGGAGACAAAATTACACGGGAACATTCGATCCACTGCAACCTATACCTCGAAGAGCGCCTGCATGTGCAGTTGAAACGCGATTAAAATTTACCAGATATATTAACGAGAATAACCATTAATTCAAAAGTACCTAGTAATCTAGTAGTATCTAAATACCTATAAATTTAAGATAAGTATATAGAAATGTATGTTGTGTTGGCTACTCAAATAAATAAATAATCCAAAAATAAAGAATGTTTTATTTTTACTTACTTTTTCCTCTGTATTTAGAATACTTGTGGATTCGTAAACATCTGTTAAAAACGCAGCCATCACATCGTAAAATATCCATATGGGCTGATACACATCCTCTGTTCCCGCCCCTGACCGAATGGATGCATTTCTTTTTTTTAAATTCGTTCTAAATGTACTAAGAAGATTATCTTTTTTCTTTTTTAACTCATGCACTGGAATGCCCATCGTATCAGCAATACGTTTCCATGAATCATTAATCTGAAAAAATAAAATAAGTAAGTATAATCATTGTGGTTATATCAATGGGCATAATAACAGGTGGTCAAAATAAGTTGTCGTGTGTCGCGTTAACACGATCAAAATACCACATTGTTAATATCTAATAACCAATTTACAGTAAACTCAACTGAATTTGTAAGTAGATAGTTAAATAAAATGAATGAATTGTGTACTTACAACATTTTTATTTTTGTGGTATTTATTTTTGGGATTCCACAGGCAGTTTTCTGCTTGATACAGCTCCAGAAATTTAAATGTTTCCTCTGTGCTCATGTTTGCCATTTCAACAAGCAAGAAAAAAACGGCGGTAGGTAAAAAAGAACGGCGAAAATCACGCGTGCACTCTCACTCGCTTCCCGCTGAACACTGATGCGTCGTCAGACGTGTGGACACACCGCACGCTCGCGCCGGGCGCCCGCGCCAGATCCCTTTGATCCGTGCAACAAAAACCGACAACAAACGGATAAGTGCCGGACGCGTCTGCCGACGTCAAATACCTACCACAGACGAGCAAATCACTCCCTCTACACGTAGGCGGACGCGTCCGCCGATGCCATCGGCGGACGCGTCCGCCTACGTGTAGAGGAGGCATAAGAGACCCATACTGCGCAGGAGAGATCATTAATTTGATGATTTACCACAAAAAAGTCACATCTACTGACAATAGTTATTGTAGAGAAATAATTAATGTTAATATGACCTCATTCCTCACTAACGCCATCTGGTAGTCGCAAATTGTCAGGGTTTGTCAGGTTTTTTTTAAAATAAAATGTTGGTCGCCATGACACCGCGGCTATAATGCCTCCTATAATCTATTATTAAGATATGAAGTTATTATTCAATTATCCTGTAAAATTAATTACCTAATAAGTTATTGAGTGATTAAATAATAAAATAATACATTGTTAATTATTTGTTTTTGTACTTACTATTACCTTACCTTGTTCCTACGACGTTGTCATGATAATATCATAAAAGGTTGTTCATAAAAAGTGAATAAAGTTAAAATTGCATATTTTAAATTTATATTTTGCAGCATGTTTCTGTTGTTCAAGACTCTTTTGTGTTTTATTTCTCTCAGATTAAATACTTATCTAAAAGTACTTCGCTGTACTTCACCTACTTCTTTCTTAATAATAGTGAAGAAAGCTTTAGTTTTTTAGTTAGTTTTTTTTTTGTAATGTGTTGGAGAATCCTCATGGACACCATCCGCCCTCGGGGAAGGGCGAAGGGTACTGTCAGACTCTTACTGACTAAAAACCAACTCGGTGTTTCTCCAGTTACCCATGTGTCGGAGGGGCAGGTATCGCCGAAGCATGCGTCGCATCCCTCCGACGGGTATTGGTCCGCCAGATAGTCAGACGGGCCCCGTCACCCACTGCGGCCGTCAGCTTGTTTGTTTTGATGTCATGTTTCATATCCTATCCTGTTTGAAACGTGAACCGAAATTCTTTTGCAATCCTCATTTATTAGTATAACATAGGTTGTGACACTGCAAACACGAGAAGTTGAAAATTCACGAAGTTACTTTAAAGCTACAAAATAGTGATAAATGTACGCATTGTCAGTTCTATTCAAAACGAGACCTCGTCTCAGTGGCGCGGTACTTATAGTGATACTTTATAAAAGTATCCGCTTCGTGATAGAATGGACTACTCCCTGTCACTACTCAAATTGGGGAGACGCGTTACCATCGGCTGAGGACCCGACATTCACTCCTAAAGACAAATCAATCTTCTTTCACGAAACTTCGTGCAGAGGAGGAATCAGTATTCGTGAGGCTTGTTCTATTGAGACAGCCGCTAGAGCACATCCACAAAGCCAGGTCTATGTCCTATTCAGCTCACCTGTCACCAACCACGCTCTCAAAACCACCTGCCTCAAATATCTCCAAGAGTTCCCAAATATACACCTTCTGCGGATACACGTAGCTGAGTTCTCAAAAGGAAGTATTGTGCAATCGATATTACTTAATGATGTAAAATACAGCAGCTATCCAGTGGAACATACTGCCGATATATTGAGGATTTTAACCCTTCACAAATGGGGCGGAGTCTACCTAGATACAGATATTATAGTCACCAGGTCACTAGAACATCTCCCTCTAAATTTCATAGCAGAGGAAAACTATGGTGATATCGCTTCAGGCGTTATGGCATTTGGAACCGATGATGTCGGTAGAAACGTTACGGGTGAGGTTTTAAAGTAAGTATTCGTTTATTTTCATTGTCACCATATACTTAAGTTGTTTATCTAATCTTTAATGTTATTTCAAAGGCGGGTGCCTCAATGGTGCCTTTGTTATGGCATATATGCCGTCGGTTATGACGACTCAAAATATACAAGTTAAATAAAGCCATCAACCGAACACAGAAGGGCCACAACATCATATTTTACTTTTAATTCGTAATATTTTGCTTTCTTTATTAGAGAGATCAGTGAAAAATACAAACCGACCAGTTGGTCATTCAATGGCGCAGAGACAATAAAGGAAGTGCTCAAGAGATTATGTCCAAAATTGAAAAAGGAAAAAGAAAAACCAATAAAAGATTGTAAAGGTGAGATTAATTTTTAATATTACTTAACTTTATAAGTATTCTGGGACTGAAGATCATAGATTTATAAGTAGGAACCGTACCTACTTAAATTTGGAAAACTAAAATTCTATGATGTTAAGGAAGACACTGCGTCACTGCTCCAAATTATATGGTAAATTAGTAGATATATGAATCGTTGAATTTATTGGATTCCGTAAGCACCTACGTAGTTAATAAAAATACCTAAGTTGCACTTATATTTTTGTGTTTTAAATTAATCCACCCCGAGGACACGGTGGACGAGCCACCGAAAGCGCCTGTTGACAACAAGAAAAGTTAGTTCACGTATGTCAGTACCAGGCACGCAGCAGATTGCGCAGATTATATATTGTGCACTTAAGCAGATTGCGGAAGACTAAATTCAGACAGACAACTGCTCTACATAAGAGATAAAACACTAGGTCGACTGAAACTCGGCAGCATCACGACCATTAGTTCACTTTGTCACCACTCAGGCAAAGGGATTCGCGAAGATTTTAAATCCAAAGCAAGTGTACTAACCTTCTAAAACTATTATCTAAATTTCCAGGTATCACGATCTTTGGTTTCGAGCTTTTCTACCCTCAGTATTACACGGACATCGATGAGATATTTGAGGCACCTACAGAAAAATTTGACTTGCTTCGTCCATACACATATCACATGTGGAACTCCTTGAGTCAAAACAAGACCATACATCGGAATACTGTGTACCAGATCCTGGCTAAAACCTTCTGCCCAACCATTTACGAGGCATACCGCTACGAATTTCATGCAGATAGTAGTGAAAGTCCAGCTAAAAATAAAAAAAAATTTTACAAAATAAAAAAACCGCCTTCAAAAAAAGTCAAGCAATAAAAGTTCCTACACTAAAAAGTAAAAAATAACAATTTGAATTACTGTAAAAAAACTTAGTTTATAGGTAAACTTATTTGACATTAATATTTTGCAAATATTCAAAATTTATTACTTATTTTTGGAGTCGGTGCCAGCATTTTAATGTTGAAACTTAATGTTAGTTAGCTTTTTAATATCCGGTGCCATTTTTCGTACATAATGCTTAAACATTTTCAATGTACTTAAAATGTTTTTGTAAGTATATATTTTTTATTTAAAAAAAATGTGCAAATCGGACATTTTTTGTAGACATTTTTTGTAGAGAAGTCTAATCTGTATTTATGTCTTAATTAATATACCTATATTTGAGTATGCAAATAGGTATTAAGTAGTTTTATAATTAAGTAAGAGGTAGTTTTTCAAGGGATTGTTGCCCATTTGTATTTCCTTGCATGGGCTGGCACCGACTCCAAAAATAAGTAATAAATTTTGAATATTTGCAAAATATTAATGTCAAATAAGTTTACCTATAAACTAAGTTTTTTTACAGTAATTCAAATTGTTATTTTTTACTTTTTAGTGTAGGAACTTTTATTGCTTGACTTTTTTTGAAGGCGGTTTTTTTATTTTGTAAATTTTTTTTTTATTTGTAGCCGTTTAGTGTTTTTTTTATTATAATGTGTTATGGCAAAGAAGTCAATATCGTTCCTACATTTCTTTTGAAAAAGTTACCAATGTCATACTTATACGTAGAAATACATATCATAGTACATTGTTACTGTGTAATCGTTTTGATCTCGAGGAGAGATGATATGATGCATGAGATACTTATGACTTATAGTTAAAAAAATAATAATAATCTTATCATAAATTCATATTAGTTCTCGCCAAATAACAAAAAACTAGATATTTTCATCAACAGACAGATAAAGTTCAAAGATACCAAATGCAATCTAATTTAGTATCTATGATTAAATACATTCGTACATAGAAAAAAGACCGATGCAATTATTGTTTTGTATCAATTGTAACCCATTAAATGAAGAATACTATTTTGTTATTACTAAGAACATTCATATATAGACAAGTTGGTAAAAATACAAAAGACCATCGCTATTGTAAATATACATTTATGAGTCATTCAATGTATGAACCTTTTTTAAGTAAGTATTATCTACATATGTGCACACAAAAGAAACACAATTATTGTTTTGTACGACGCAATTATTGTTTTGTAACCCATTTAAAACGACTGTTTTGTTAAAAATGCCAATGAATTCTCTTAGCCTATTACCAGGAAAACGATAAGAACACAATGACGCATTTCACCACTAATGTGTAAACGCAGTCCACGTGGAAAGGCCAAACTCCGCCCCCAAAGGTGTGCGGTCCCGCTCTAGAACCTTTCGGCCCCATCGGCCATCTGTTCTACGAGCAATGTGCCGTGCCCACTGTCACTTAAGTTTGGCATTTCTTCGGGCTATGTCGGTGACGCTGGTTCTTCTGCGGATTTCTTCATTTCTGATTCGAACATGCACGGAAACTATGAGCATAGCCCTTTCCATTGCTCTTGACAGCTCTAATAAGCTTACACAATACTAGGCCCCATGCCAACCTTCCAGCTTCATCATCACATCAGTTCAATAGTACCTTACAGCCAAAGTGCATCTTATAACAATTCTAACAAGCCCAAACACGGCTAGGATATATTAATTAGGTACGCAGTTCCAGTGCCTACCTTCCAGCTCCATAATCATCATTAAATCAGTTCGATGATAACATTTCCAACATAATTATTTAAGATCATTGGTTTACAGTGCATTTTCATAGTTGCTGAACTACCTTGATTGTGATATCTATGCGAGTGTCAAGTTTCATCACCCATTTCTGATCTTCTTCACCAGTTCCACCCCATCAAATATTACTTTTTGACTGTAAATGCTTGAGTACTCTATGAAAATATTAAAATTACTATATAGTTGCCTATAATATTTGAGGAGTTCCCTCGATTTCTCATGGATCCCATCATCAAAACTCAATTTTGAAAAGAATGGGACCAATCTGGAAGCATATCCTTTCAATCATAAAAAAAATTTTGCAAATCCGTCCATAAACGACGGAGTTCTGAGGTAACAAACATAAAAAAAAAAAATAAAAAAAAAAAAAAAAAAAAAATACAATCGAATTGAGAACCTCCTCCTTTTTTTGAAGTCGGTTAATAAAACTAAAAGTTTTTAAAAACTCAAGACGACGAAAATGAAATGTGATTAGTGATTTGCCAGACTTCGTGGCAAGGTAAATAATGAGACTGTAGATGGTTAAGGTCTGTTTATTACTTTAATTGCTGGTGCTTATATACTAAGAAGATGCGTGAGATTTTCAGATTTAGCTATCCTAACAAACGTGCAACAATTAACATGTATGTCTTATCTCTATCGTATCTAAGTAATGTAGCGACGTGATAGTGCCGCTACATATACTCCCCCCTTTTAAAAATAATTAACATATAAATTGAAAAAAATTAGTATGTACCTAATTATATAATAACTTAACCTTGCTGATAAATTACATCCTATGCGTAATGTAATGTCATTGTTGCTAATTCGAAGGAAATAAAAACTGCTGCCTTTGTTGTGACGGCGGCGGCAGTCGATGAACTATCCCTGAATAGCGAGTCCATGAATCGTTGGAATGTTTGCGCCGCATTACGTAAACCGAAAGGCATTTTTGGAAATTCGAAAAGTCCAAAAGGAGTGATAATAGCAGTTTTTTCCACATTTTCTACAGGAATGCAGTGGTACGCCTTTCGAATATCAATTTTGGAAAAGATTTGCTTCCCTTCTAGTATGTAAGTGAAATCAGTTAGTCGTGGAAGTGGATATTTGTCCGGTACAGTCACGCTATTGAGCATTCTATAATCTCCACATGGTCTCCATTCACCGTTCTTTTTCTTAACCATGTGCAAAGGACTAGCCCATGGGCTGTCCGAAGGGCGACAAATGCCAAGCTCCATCATAGTCTGAAATTCTTTCTTTGCTATATGATATTTATCAGGAGGTAATGGTCTTGCACGTGCTGATACCGGTGGTCCTTTAGTGATAATATGATGCTTAATCTTGTGTTTTGGAGTAGTGTGGAAGGAGGCTGGTTTCGTAATATCCTCGTATTCATTTAATAGTTGAGTAATGCGTGGATTCGTCTCAATGTTAATAGTGCGGATTGTTTGCTGCGTCGATTTGATCAGGGTTGCGGGCGTTGTCAGCTCAGTTACCCTATCTATGAGTTTTCGACCAGCTATATCGACTAATAGCTTATAATGCTCTAAAAAATCTGCTCCAATAATCGGTTGTGTTACATCGGCGATGACAAAGTTCCATACAAAGTTTCTTCGTAGCCCGAAGTTTAAAGAGAGTGTTTTTTCACCATATGTCTTAATTTTTGTACCATTGGCGGCATAAAGTATACATTGTTCATCTTGTATTAGTGAATGTCTCTGTGGCTTGCTAATAACTGAAATATTTGCTCCCGTGTCGATCAAAAATCTCATACCACTTTTTCGGTCGGTAATAGTGAGGCGGTTGGACGGGTGAATAGCACAGAGTTCCGCCGTTGTCCGTGCTTCAATTAGTTTCCCTGTTTCCTTGAGTTGAGATCCTGTTTCCAATCACAAGGTTGAACACACTTTTGTGCATATTTTTTAAATCTTCCATGGTAAAAACAAAAGTGCCTTCTTTCTCTTGAACTTGACTGTGGTAGGAAATGCCGACGATTGGAATAACTTTGAGTGCTGCGTCGATAGTTTTTTTGACCTTGCTGAATTGCATTTAGTTCCAATTGCATTTCTGCTAACTGTGCTAGTATGCATGACATTGTATCGTCGCCAGATTTGTTTCCGTTTACAGCTGACACCTCTGTACGTGTTGAATTTATTAATATCTTGTCCGCGATCTGGCTCATCTTGTTCACATCTATGTCTTCTGTGACTGCTAGAACCGAAGTCACTGATGGTGGCAGAAGCCTCAACCATAGAAGTTTGATGGTTTCGTCGCTGATTTTTCCGTTACTCAGGGTCCGCATCTTGCGCAGAAGATGTGATGGTTTCTGGTCGCCGAGATCCATTTCAGACAATAATTTTTGGAGCTGACGTTGGTCTGATTCATCATAGCAACTGATTAGGCGTTCTTTGATAGCCTTGTACTTTTCTATTGGCGGTGGGCAAGTAATGAGGTCACTAACCTGTATTATTTCTTCTTTTGGCAGTTTTGCAATGACCGTATAGTACTTGTAATCGTCTCCTTGCTTCTGTGGTGCTACTATGGCTTCTAGTTGCTTAAACCATAATCTGGGTTGGTCCCTCCAAAATTCCGGTTCCGGCTGATATCTCCAAGGCTTCTTGTTGGCTGCTGCTTGATTTGCAGGGTGAATGAGTCATGTTGATTGTTCTTCGTCGGGTCACCAATTTGCCAGACTTCGTGGCAAGGTAAATAATGAGACTGTAGATGGTTAAGGTCTGTTTATTACTTTAATTGCTGGTGCTTATATACTAAGAAGATGCGTGAGATTTTCAGATTTAGCTATCCTAACAAACGTGCAACAATTAACATGTATGTCTTATCTCTATCGTATCTAAGTAATGTAGCGACGTGATAGTGCCGCTACAAGTGATAAAAAAATAAAATAAAAATCTGTTAGGGGAAATCCGCAGTGTTATTTTTTTCTCTTTCCTTTTTTTTGTAAAGGATGAGCCCATAATATATTGCCTATGATATTATTATATAGGCATTATACGAATTTGAGGATTGAACATAGGGGGATGGATTTGACCTCCACTAACCACACACCGGTATTCTGTGAGGCCGTAGTATCACTGCGGTGAAGCCGGCTCATTCGAAGCATGGCTCTTTTACATTTATCTGTATCGCATATCTAACAAATTCCTATCGATCTATCAGCTCCATTATCAGATCTGACCATGGTATTCTGTAACTATTTAAAAGAGTTGCTTGATGAGGTTGCGTCGTTTCATAAATGGGATCACGGGTACAATGACTATATAATTCATGCTGAATGAGAATTATAATGATATATTAAGTACAGTGCTTTTAAAAGGCTGCTAAGTCTTAACTGCTTTACCGTACCTATACTTAGTTTGCTATAAGCATTTTGACTTTGCCATTAACATTGAATGTAACAAAAAATATATTACTGTCGCACCCTCTGGGTGAATTGTAAACGTTGTAAGTGAGCTTAGAACATGCACCATTGAAACCAGAAACCTCTACTAAAAACCGCATAAAAATCCTACCAATGGTTGTAAAGATAAACGGAAATTTGATTTGCACCAACGTCTTCTCACATCCAAACGCATGTACACCTACAGCAAATCCTAATAAGAATAATACGGAGTAAATTTTTACTGCAATTCACAATAGTCCTGCATCCACCGGCGATTGTCCTTGGGCACACTTTTATAGTTAAGTAAGTACAGGGATAATTGCCACCTGATGTCCCATCACATTTAGATTAAAACTTCGAGTTGGCTTCGGCACCTCGTATGCCTTCCAAGGGTCCGGGACCCTGTGGTTCCGAGAATGGAAACGAACATACAGAGAAAAAAATAAAATAATACAGAGACTGGTATTAATGTTTTATTGACCCTGAAATCATTGTGGCGTGTCGTATCGCTATAGAATGCCTACCTTTGCCTTCATTTTTTTTCAGGTGACCCTTTGTCAAACGAGCATACAGATGAATTGATGGTAAGCAATCAGCGCCACCCAAAGACATCCTCAACATCAAAGTAGTTACAAGTGCGTTTCCGGACTTTTAGGGATTCGATTTCGGGTTTCGGAGATTTGGTAATTAGGTAGGAATGAAAAATTCGGCCTTCGGTAACCTCACTAACACGGCGAAACACAACGCTGTGTTTGATTCACGGCGGTTTTTTTGTGAAGTCGTGGTATCACTCCAGTCGAGCCGAAGCTTGGGTCTCCCAGACTTAAAACATGCACACATTAGCAGCACGCGACTCGACACCATACGCTACCAAACCATGTTGAAATTATGAATCCGACATGTCCATCCCAGTACCTATAGGTTTCGCTGCGGCACTTGTGTATTCAATTCTAAACCTTATTACGTTTTGCTACCTACATCATAGTTTGCTAGTGTTTTTATAACAACTCATAGCCTACATTTTGTAGTGGAAAATAGCGTTTTAAAATAAAAAACATTGTCGATATACTAACTCGTATCAATAAATATGAGAATTATGCGTCAACTTTTCATATTTCTATAGAAGTCGTAGGTAGTTGATACATTTTGCGTTCGACTTAGACACAGTCCCAATGTTCAGTAAAAACCTCACCCTCATGCCATCTTTACTTGTGAGTGAAAAATTATTAAATATTTTCTATCGAGTGTGAGACTCTTACTGACTACAAACCTCCTGTTCCTTCACCTGCTTAAGGCAAGGCAACGCCCGAACGCTCGGGTCTTGGGGCGGCAAGCTACCCTTGTTCGCCGTCCGTTGACCCACGCATACGGTGGCCGGAGATCAACACTCGAGCCCCGACGCCCAGATTGTTGCCTACTGAGGTGGCTGGGATTCGAGGAGAATAGTTCCGTCACGCGTTCCGCCTCCTTATTCCTGTATCATTGCTTCGCAAAAAGTAGAGACGGCTTCCCAATTCCTCGCTCAGTAACACGGCCTCGACTAAGGTAAGACGCGAGAGGTCGCCGCCGCCGATCACTCCCCTGAAAACATGGCAGTGCTCAACCACCGCCACCGTATGCCGAGGTGGTCCTCACAACGACGATAGTCCGGCCGAATCCGAAACAGGAACCTACCGAAGCTACTCTCATTTCATCCTGAGAAACGATTAGGACAAATTGTGTCTATACCTCTGGAGTGTGTAAATTGTCTAAACTTTTAGTAGGTAAGCAGTCAATCAATTCAAAATGTAGGAAAAATATCTCCATTTTTGGTAAGCATAAGATTGTCTCACTCTGCCCTACTCAGACCGAGAGAAGGCATTCGAAGATTTTCAAAGCTAGAAGCCCGTACAAAACTAAGCGAAATTCTCGGAAAACGCGCATTTCCATCTAAATGAAGTCACAATAAGTTAATGTTTTCCGGTTTATTTATTACAGCTCTGTACCTACTTAAACGTAACACGGTATAGATAGGTAAGATGAAAAAGATAAGAGCATACGTTGAAGCGGAAGAGCGGGAAATAGAATGTATGAAACATAACCACGTGACCGTTTTAAATTGTTTCATGTAGGTAATGTAAGCAGCACACGAATAGAGCTGTATCCTAAACATGAAGATCGTAGTCGTGCACTGATCTACTGATAAATAATGCATATACTATTGTAAGTACTTAAGTACATGTCCTTAGAGCGAAAGTAGAGTCCAAGTCATAAGCTAAGGTGGGGTTAAATACTTTGGACCTTAATTTGGTGCATTTTTGGAGGGACATCATTAAAAAACAATTGAATGATTCCTTCAGGCCTAGATGTGGCGAGGAAGAGTTTGACTCTTAGGTACTTACTGACTAAAAACAACCTCATTACAACTACTGGTTTTAGCCAGCCCGCGTTATGTCATTGCCATACGATGGAGTGTGGTTCTTGTCGGGTGGCCTATGAATAGCTGGTGATCGTCGTGAACCCGACGTCTGAGCATTTTCTATGGTAGTAAAGATCGTTTTTTCTTAGCTGCAAAACAGTCTTCGTAAAAAGAGATGGTTATCCAGTTCCTCTTGACTCGCACTATTACCTAAAGTTGGCTTGAAACGCTACGGTCACTGTTCACTTTCCTGAACTTAGAAGTGCCAGCACTGCCAGCCCAAGCACGGCCACCGTATAGGTACAGTATGTCCTCCAGGGTCTAGTTTGATAGAAAATTCTACATCCTTTTTTTATGTAATAGATCGGCAAACGAGCAGACGGATTACCGGATGGTAAGCAATCAGCGCCGCCTATGGACACCCGCAACATCAAAGGAGTTGTTGTCGAGTGCGTTGCTGGCCTTTGAGGGATAAAGGTTTAGAATATTTAAGGATTGGGAAGGGATAGGGGGGGGGATTGGGCCACCGGTAACCTCACTCACACGGGAAAACAACGCTGTGGTTGTTTTAGGCCGGTTTTCTGTGAGGTCGTGGTATTACTCCGGTCGAAGTGGAAGCATGGCTCTCCCACATGTATGTAGATCGGTACTTTAGACACCGTTTACCTGCTAAAGCCACTATAACCCAAACTCCATAATGATCCATCGTTCATACCTGTATTGGGAGCATCCACTGACAAACTTTAAGCTTTTATATAATAATGTAGATCTGGGGTTCACGGGCTCTTAGACAATATCATTATTACCGTGAAGGGTGCTTAAATACTCATTTGCGAATGCTAGGTAGGTAGTAGGTACCTATTTAGGTTGGCATATATAACTGTAGACGTTTTGTTACCAACTTTATATCTGTTTCAGTTCTAGGATAAGTCCAAAAATAACAAACATAAAATTGAAAATTCGCTTGTGACTTGGGAAGCGCGCGGAATCTATATAAAATCGCCGGTTTTCTATAACTAAACAGATTTACAACAATATCCGAGGAAAGTGTGTGTTTAGTAATAATTGTTACCCACTATCTGTATTGAAATATCATGTTACAACTAAACGCTTGTGTTGTAGATTACTATCATATTTCGATAATGTGTTCGTTTAAATTATTCGGTTCTCACTCTTCTATAACAAAACAATAAAAACAGTACAGTTATGTACTCACTAAAGTCACAGAAAAAATATAGTTTTTTACGGAGAAATGTAATCTTTTTAATATTTTTTATTATTTTTACTGGTGTCACAATTTATTACGTCAAGTTGAGAGATGTATCGGTTAGACCACTATACAATAAACATTACGATTTGCGATCCTTTCTAAATAAAGTGGACAGTAACAATTTGTCGTGTCATTATGATGATGAAGGAGATGTGCTTCCATGGGCTGAAGGTCCCAACTTTTCCCCAAAGTTCAACTCTATATTCTTTCATGAAACATCATGCAATGGAGGCTTAAACTCACGTCAGGCGTGTTCCATCGAGTCTGCCGCGAGGGCCCACCCACGGAGACAAATTTATGTTCTGTTCAGTGGACCTATTATTGAGCTGGTGTATCAGAGAAGCTGCATAGCTAAATTACGGCTTCTGCCAAATGTTAATTTTGCTAGAGTGCACATAGCGGAATATGCAAAGAACACCCCTTTGGAAGGCTTGGTAACAAGTAAGGAGTTTAAAGAGAGCAAATGGCGCGTAGAACATACATCGGATGTCCTCAGATATTTGACACTGTATAAGTGGGGAGGAGTGTATCTGGACACAGATATTATGGTCGTGCAATCTCTAACGCCGCTCGGTCACAATTGGGTAGCGAAGGAAGACAATGGGCTTGTGAATGCAGCAGCCATCGCCATTTCTATGGACCATCTCGGCAGACGACTCGCGAAAGCTATTGTAAAGTAAGAATGATCATTGTGTTAATTAAATTATTAGGGGTAGACGTGTTCTGGACCTCCAGCTAGTTGGCCTGACAATATCCCTAGGGTGGCTGGAACTAGTTGCATGAGGAGAGCGGATCAACACGCTCAGTTGCGTGCCATTGTGCAAAAAACGTCTAGCAGTGGGCAATGCAGATGCTGATGATGACGGTGAATTATTAAATTGATTAAATATTTCTGACAATACATATGTATAAAGAAGCTATACCTACTATTCTCATTTACTACTATCATCACCACATGTTCAATAACACTACCGTCATAGTCAGCTATGACGTCCAGTCGGCCGATTGGATGTATGCAATATCTGACTTAAGGGATCACGATTATTGGGACCATAATTATATCAATAATTCAATAACGTAAATATATTTTTTCTTCTCAGTGAAGTTAAAACGACGTACCGACCCGATATTTTTATACATAACGGCCCAGGAGCGATAACGAGAGTGCTACACCATATGTGCGAGGAATCCGATCCAAACAAGTGGTCTGCAAACACATGCCAAGGTAAATAAATATCTATATGAGTTTGCCGATAATTTCTGTAAACTTTGGTAATCAATATCATTGTGGACCGGGGACCAGATTACGATACGGCATTTTAAAATCGACCCGACAGTTTTTTTTTTATCTGATAGGACGGCAAACGAGAATACAGATTACCTAACGGTAAGCAATCAGCGCCGCCCAAGGACACCCGCAACAACGGAGAAATTACGAGTGCTTTGCGAACCTGTTTGGGATTTAGGGATAGGTAAAGGAAGGATGACGCCGTCTGAATGAGATTACTGGAGGCCCACCTCCAGTAATCTTATTCAGACGGCGAAACAACGCTGTTGTAGTTTCACGCCGGTTTTCTGTGAGGCGGTGATATCACTTCGGTCGAGCCGACCCATTAGTTCCGAAGCATGGCTCTCCCACAGTTTCACCTCAACCCTATAAGAAGGTGGCCGTTTGCATTTTTGTCTCTTCTGGTGTTAAAGGTCATTGACGCTTTAACACTTCATGGTAGGCCTACCGATCTGAATCGGATCGCTTACCAGCAGATGATCCGACTAATGTTTTCAATAATAACAATATCATATTTTCAGGTCTCGAAGTGTATGGTCCAGAATATTTCTATCCGGTTCACTATACCAGAAACAACGATTACTTCAAAACTGGGGAGCTAAAGAACGTTGAAAATGCCTACACTCATCATTTATGGAACAAATTAACATTCAATACAACGATAGAAAAGGATTCCCCATACGATAGGATGGCACAGAAACTTTGTCCTCTAATTTATGAGATGTATGGAGAAGATTTTGGGACATAAAAAGGTCAATTCATACCTTGGATGACTGAAAATTTTTGTTTTACTTTTTATGGCTATATCTACAGCCAAATTGTGTGTAAAATAGCATAAGTAATCAGTAGGTAGCATCGTTATTTTCGATATATTTATTCATTTTATATTGAGTGTATGCATGTTTTTGTGTTATTTATTTATTCAATACATATTCTGCAATAAAACTATACAATCAAAGATAAAAAGAAATATTTTTATACAACCTAAGTATTTATTTATATTTAATAACGTTGTTATCGTGAAATTCGCAATGGTACCTAAGTATATGTTAAAACGTGAAACGTTTCATTTGGAGCAATAACTTTGCTATTATTGTGAAATTCGCAACGTTATTTAAGTGTGTTAAAACACACGACAGGTAGATGAAGCTTGGAGTACCTACCTATTAATAGATCCCAGAATAAGTAACTTTTTGACCAGCCCCCGTTCTTGCTTAGTTACTTTCTTCCCCAGCTTTGCTATCAGTAATGGAACCAAACTTTTTGACAACAATGTTGCCAGAAGCAACATTGTTGTCGGATATTTGTCGTTTTTTCTTACAATCCAAATCGATTTTACCTTAGTTAGACTATATAAAAGCTCAGAATACAGAAGTATAAAAGTTAATTCTCCATGGATTTTACAGACTCACAGGATATAAATTTGAGTTTGGTTCCTGTTCTTCCAGTTAGTGTTCCGTTAAAATCCCAGTTCGCAATACCTGTCCTGTTATTAAAATAACAGGTATTTAAAACACATCTTATTTTACTTATTGCTTACTTGAACCATACTTGTTGTGATCTAAGCTGCGATTTACCCGCAAAAACAACTGCTAAACTTTTTCTCTGTATAATAAGTTTGCCCGTACCTTCCGTGAATAACTATCAACAAGTACCGGTGTTATGGTACTAGTCTGTTGATAGTTATTGTTGTCATGGTATGTTAACCTTTCGCGTCTGATGCGAGTATGTGTCTCCGTGGTGTGGAGCAAACTGGGAAGCTGTTTCTTGTTTTTGTGAAACAGTGATGTTCGTAAAGAAGAAGGTAAATAACCTCCTCACAAGTCAGCCGCCGCAGTAGGCAACATCCCGGGCGTCGTGGATCGAGCGACGATCTCTGGCAACCGCAAGAGCTAGTCTGCGGATGGCGAGCAAGGGCAGCTCACCAACCAAACCTGATCGTAGGAGAGCCAATAGTCTGTGGAGCAAGCGCAATAACACACAGGGGACAGGGGGTTTTTTAGTCAATAAGAGTCTCCCTCTCCCCTCAGCCTGTGCGAAATAAGGCAGTAAGTTACGAGTGTGTTACCGACCCTTTGAAGATAAGGGTTGTGGAGATTTAGGGATTAGGGATGGATTGGGGATAGGAGGGATTGGGCGTCCTGTTACCTTATTCATACGGTTTAACACAATGTTGTGGTTGTTTCACGCTGGTTTTCTGTGAGGTCATGGTATCACTCCGGCCAAACTGATCTATTCGTGCCTACGATTGGCTCTTCCACACTTTAATGCAGAAGACACAATACTTAAGCCTTAAAGGTGTAAGAGAATGCACGACTGGGACTAGATATTGAGGGGAAGCACATTGCTACACTTCAAAATAGACGGAAGACGAGAAGTTAGTAATTCCAAGATTACAGGTAAGGCCAACAACTGTCCAATACACTTTAAAAAAAAAATTAAAGGCAATGTTTGACCTTGAAGAAGCTTATGTCGCACCGCGTCTGCCTTTTGTCGCCTTATCTGCTCAGATAAGTGCCCTATGGAATGGAGATAACTGCTTTTAACGCGTAGAACACGCAATTAGTAGTAGCTATCTCCATTCCAAAGATAGTCCTGTGCGTAAAAAAGAGATATTGTGAGATACCTGTTATTTATACCTGTGATCAACCTGTTACGATACATATGCCCATGCCTTATTTTCATTTCTGTCAGAGATGACATATTTACATATTTGACATATCTCCACTTCAAACTTCAATCTATTATTTTTATAACTTTATGTTTTTGAATGCTTTTTGATCTATTTTCTAGTTTTCTATCATTTATGATTATAAATTATTTATAATATATATCTAGAGTAGTTTGTTGACTTGTTCGATTGTACACAATTTTAGAATATTGTTAAATATCAAATAAAACAACTAATATGACCTCTACTTTATTACTTCAAAAAATGATGTCAGTAAAACTAAGTAAAGGCGAATTTGAAAAAATAAAATGGCTTAGAGCGAATAATAAAGAGAAAACTTTTAAAACAATATCGTAAGTATAACTTGTATTCACTGAATCTATTCTGTAAACAGTATTACCCACAGAATTCTTTATAATGTAAGTACCTATCTACATATTTTATGTAAACATAAAATGCACTTATTTCTTAAATGTACATAACATTCATTCTGATTGAATAATAAAAACAATAATTAGTAATATAAAATGATTAAATATTCAAAAATGAAATCATCCAGGCCCTATGCTACACTTTAAAGGTTCCTAATAGATCCCTATTAGGTAGGTAATTAGTTTGCATCTAAGCCTTAAAAAGAGGTTCAATTCTTGAGTTTTGAATACAGAAATAAAAGTGCTTTTTGTTTTTTTTTTAATTAGTGTAGGTATGGAAGTGACACAGACTGCACCCCTTTAGATGGAAACTTTAAGTTACTTGGTAACACACTGTACACACTTCTCTGTACCTCTTCCTAATTAAAACTATAAGTACCATACCCATCTCATTCTGTGCTTTAGCATAAAAAATATGAGATGGTAAATGGTTGGGCTTAGGGACAATCAAGTACCTACCTGCTACAGCATGAAGAGCTGAGCAATTAGGCTAACCAAAAATGTTTTACTCAAAAAAGTCAAAATCATTTATTTCAAATAGACCACAGTAGGCACTTTTGAATGTCGAGCAAATTAAAGAAAAATGTTTCAAGAGGTTTAACTTTATGCGTGTTAGTCTGTCTGTCTTCTAGAAAAGCTATTTGCTCATTCCAAAGTGTAGATTCCTATTGAGAAGAACAAGCAAGAAACTCCATGGTTTCTCTTTTTCAAACAGTTCTACAATTCATTTCTTTGTTACATGATTTAGTCAACTCTACTACTTTCTCGACATCTCTGATTTTTACAGATCACTGAGAAAATCATTAGGAAGTCAAAAGTATAGAAAAACTTGCAGACTCTGCCTCAAACCGGGTAGCAAGAAAATGTTTGATAGCAATGATTTTGATATAGCCTTTGTTATTAAACAACTGTTGCAGATAGAGGTATATAACTACTTTATTTGATTGATTACAAAACCAATAAATATAATAAAATCATTAAAGTGCATGTCAATAGGTACAATTTGAGTAGTCTATTAAAAATTACATAAAATTTTAGTAGACATATAGACTCTTTAATGTACATTTCATCACTCATTATAGATGAATGGCATTATCCCCCTAATTAATTACAAGTTATAGACTACACTAGTACAGGATAAAAATATGAAACAGTGGAAACTGAGAAAATGTCTACATTGTGAGTAAACAGGTCAACACCCTTTTTAAAACTGTTTTATATCTGGTTCCAAAAATCGCCCCATTTTTAACCAAATATGGGGAGATTTAGATTGCTATTAAATAATATATGATAAGCAAACAAGAGCCTAGGCACCCAAAATTGAGTTTCTTTATAATAATTTGTATAATTAATTTGCATAGTGTTGTTCTACCATTATAAATAAATTATCTTATAGGTAACCAAAGATGATGATAAACCACAATACATTTGCAAAGCATGTGAAGTGGTACTCCGGAATGCTGACCAGCTGAGGCAAACGGCTGAAGTGACTCAGTGGAGACTGCAACAGGAACTTGAATTAAGTATGTTGATATTTCTACGTAAGTAGTAGTAACATCGTTCTGCAATCTTACATTACATCATTTGGATGTGATGAAAGCTAAAGTATGTAATGGAAGCTTTATTTTGTTTGGCACAAAAACATTAATGTTAAGGCAGCTATAGAAACTGAAAATAGCGAATTGGGTACCTACTTACTGATTTTTCGCATTGTACCAGTGAGAGTAGTCTTTGCTTTTCCACTCGCTCATTATTAGCCAATTAAATAATTATTTATTATGTTTTCGGCTTACTCACGTAATAATTTGACGAGATACTCGACTAGTTTCAAGCCATGCTAGAGGCCCATATTCATAAGCAGCATTCCGCGACACCCGCCCTCTGCCGTGATTCACGCGCACTTTCTTCTAGCCGTGGTGTCGGCAGCGACGGCGCGCGCGACACTGTTGGCACGCTAGACTCGCCCGCCTGCAGCTGCGTTGGTGTTGGGCTCGAATCCCGGGTCGACGCAAAAACAGTGTTACATACCGCGCTAACTGTGTCACACTCCAGGCCCGCAACAGTGCAGTCTGATGCAGATTTCAGACTCGGCTTCCAGGCAGGTGGTAATGCCCAGCCACCGTCTCTGTTGAAGTTCGGACGCCGGCTTATTTCGATGGCCTCACGTACTTTCCTAGGCTTGAAACTAGTCGAGTATCTCGTCAAATTATTACGTGAGTAAGCCGAAAACATAATAAATGATTTAGAATGTCTCACGAAAGTTATAATAAAAATTAAATTATTGCCTACTCCTCATCCTAATTAACTTAATTTCTAGTGGTTACTAAATGGTTACGGTATATTTGTGTTCACAGTGACCAATATGGAATCAGACACGGAAGAGAAAGAGAAAACGCCTCATGGAGGCTACTTTGTAAAAAAAGGTACGACTGTCGTGCGAGAGTGGATTTGTGGAAAATGCCGACAAACATTTGATAGCCAGGTAAGAACACCTACACTACCCTTCCTTACCTATCTACAACAACTACCCTACCCTTCCTACTCTACCCTATCCTGTGTTCTTCTGGTTCCGTACTACATCTCCACCAATTCTCAACGAAATCGGTTCAGCCATTCTACAGTTATAAATATTATAACGCGCCTTTTACAATAGATTTATTGATTT